CGGGGGCGGCGGCGGCGCTGGCTCGGCCGGGGGACAGGAGAGGCTCCCAGCGGGCGCAGGGAGGTCACGGAGGCAGAGGGAACAGCAGACCCCCCCCACCCCCGCCTCCATCCCCTCCCTGGCCTGGGGACACGGTGATGGGCTGCGGTGTCCCCATGGGCTGCAGTGTCCCCATGGGCTGCAGTGTCCCCTCACCGGGGATGCTCAGCCACACAGGGACGCTGCGGCGGTGGCAGAAGGCACAGCCCAAAACGCACCCCACAGCACCCACGGCCTCATCCTGGGGGCATCACCGGTGCTGCCTGGTGCAGGGGCAAGGATCCCCCTGGGAGCGCAGAGCCAGCCTGGCCGGAGCAGGAGGGGGATCCAGCAGTCCCACAGGGTCCCTCTGGCAGCGGCTGCTCCGGGCAGAGAGCCGGGAGATGCCCATGAAGCACAGAGAGGAGCACCAGTGCCAGAGCAGGACTGGGAGCACCCCAAAACCCAGGGACATCCCTGCTGTCACTGGGAGAGAAACCTGCCCCCGACTTGCATGGGGAAGGGGTGAAGCCCATGGCATGGGGGTCCTGGGCAAGCAGCGGCCGGGCGGAGCGGGCATCGCTTTGGGCTCAGTGCAGCGCCCAGGTGCCACCCTGCAGCCCAGGTGACAAAGCGACACAGCACCGAGGCAGGGGTGTCTGCAGGGAGCCCGTCCTCCGTGGCGCAGCCTCCACCCCGGCTCCGTGCGGGACAACCCCGCGCCGGGAATGCTGCGTCCCCGGGATCCGGGCGCCGGCAGGGACGGCGCTGCGGAGCTTGGCGGTGACAAATCCCCAAGTTGCTGCTCTCGCCTGTCAAGGACGCTCCCTGCGCGGGCACCGAGGATGGATGCCTGGAATTTACAGGAATGCAGGAGCAGAGCGAGTCCCCGAACCCGGCTGAGCAGTATGAGCATCGCTCGCACATGAGGTCCCCTCGCATGGGGTCCTGTCCCAGGGCAAGGGCACAGCTGGCTAAGAACAAGCAGGTGACACCCCATGAGGATGCCCCAAGGAGGAGCAACCCCAGCACCGGCACCTCGGGAGACGCAGGGGCCCTGTCACCCCGGCCGTTATCCCCTCTGGTGACAGCAAATCCTCGCGGCACTGGGCGCTGCTCTCCCCATCACCGCTGCTCTCCCCATCAGGAATTCCTGGAGATCCGGGCTGGCTGTGTCAGTTCGTTTCCTGGCCGCAGGGAGAGACGGGATCCGTCTCCGGGGCCAGCTTCTCACAGAGCGGCTCCTTGGGAAGCTCCTCACTGAGGCCTCGTTTCCTTCCCCGGGAAAACGCATCTCCCAGTAGGCGCAGGGCGGTTTATTCCAGAGGAAACTAGGTTGTTCTCGCCTCTCTCAGGAGAGGAGACGGTGCCTGGATCGGGATGCTCTAACCCTCAGGATGCTCCCGGCCCTGGCTGAGGAGGAGGAGGGCACCAGAGGCCAAGGGCTGTGCCCCATCCCCAGGCAGGAGGCAGCCGTGCCCGGGCACCCAGCACAGAGCAAGGGAGAGCTCTGCCTCCACGCTTCCTTTCTTAATTAAACCCAAGCACTTAATTACAGCCTGCTGCATCCCAGGGCCGTTTCCCACAGGGAAGCCTGACCCCAGCGCTGCAGCCCGCTCTGTGCCCGGGAGCCCCACGTGCCCCAGCACTCACAGTGACTTATCCTAATGCTGCCGGGCCCCAT